ATTTGTGTAATGATAATTAATATATATTTGAAGTTTGAAGTAGATACCTCAAAAAGTAAAGAAGTGATTATATTTCTTAAAGAAAATCCTAAGTTCAAAGACAGATAAATCTGTAAATATTGCTTCAAGAGTTATGAACATTTTCACATAAAATGTAATTGATGATAAGGAATAAGTATTAGAAGTTTGAGGTAGATACCTTTAAAAATAAAAAAGTTATAATAAAAAATAACATTTTTCTAGTAAAAAAATCTAAGTTTATGGAGAGATAATTCTTGCAATATTGGTGCTAGAGTTATGAACCTTGTCACATAAGATGTGGATGATGATAACGTAAATATATTTGAAGTATGAGGTTGATCCCTTTAGAAATAAATAAGTAACAATAAAAAATAATATTTTTTATGGAAAATTCTAAGTTCAAGGGGAGATAAATCTGAAAATATTGGTGCTAGAGTTATGAACCTTGTCACATAAGATGGGGATGATGATAACGTAAATATATTTGAAGTATGAGGTTGATCCCTTAAGAAATAAAGAAGAAACAGTAAAAAATAGTATTTTTTGAGAAAAATTCTAAGTTCAAGGGGAGATAAATCTGAAAATATTGGTGCTAGAGTTATGAACCTTGTCACATAAGATGGGGATGATGATAAGGTACATATATTTGAAGTATGAGGTTGATCCCTTAAGAAATAAAGAAGAAACAGTCAAAAATAGTATTTTTAAGGAAAATTCTAAGTTCAAGGGGAGATAAATCTGAAAATATTGGTGCTAGAGTTATGAACCTTGTCACATAAGATGGGGATGATGATAACGTAAATATATTTGAAGTATGAGGTTAATCCCTTAAGATGAATAAAGAAGTAACAGTCAAAAATAGTATTTTTAAGGAAAATTCTAAGTTCAAGGGGAGATAAATCTGAAAATATTGGTGCTAGAGTTATGAACCTTGTCACATAAGATGTGGTTGATGATAAGGAACATATATTTGAGGTTTGAAGTTGATACCTTAAGAAATGAAAAAGTTATAGTGAAAAATATTTTACTGCACCAAAACTTTAATCTAAAATCTGGACGCGGACGCGGACGCCGGGGCGAGTAGGACAGCTCTCCAAATACTTCGTATAGTCGAGCTAAAAATCAATAAGGGTCATCAAATTGTACAGTCATGTGCACCTACGAAGTTTGGGGGCCAACAGCTCATGGGTTGTCAAGTTAATGATTGTCAACCTTTTTTTTACAAAGAAGATAAATATGACGTTGACCTTTGACCCCAAAATCAATAGGGGTCATCTACTGGTCATGAGCAATCATCATACAAAGTTTGAAATTCCTAGGCCTAAACGTTCTTTAGTTATTAATCAGAAACTGTTTTTATCTACAAGGTCAATGTGACCTTAACCTTTGACCCTCAAATCAATAGAGGTCATCTGCTGGTCATGAACAATCATCATACCATGATTTAAGTTCATAGGCCTAAGAGTTCTTTAGTTATTGATCTGTAACCGTTTTTACCTACAAAGTCAATATAACCTTGATCTATGACCCCTTGGCCCCAAAATCAAAAGGGGTCATTTGCTGGTCATGACCAATCATCATACAAAGTTTGAAGTTCTTAGGCTTAAGCGTCCTTTAGTTATTGATCGGAAACCGTTTTTACCTACAAGGTCATTAGAAATCATCATACCAAGTTGTAAGTTACTTGGCCAAAGCGTTATTCAGTTTTTGCTCAGAAATCGTTTTTACCAGGTTTTTACAAGGTCAATGTGCCTTGACCTTTGACCTCTTAACTCAGAAATCAATACGGATCATCTGCTGGTCATGAGCAATCATCATACCAAGCTTAAAGTTCCTATGCCTAAGCATTCTTCAGTTATTGATCGGAAACCGTTTTTACCTACAAGGTTAATGTGACCTTAACCCCAAAATCAAAAGGGGTCATCTACTGATTATGACCAATCATCATACAAAGTTTGAAGTTCTTAGGCTTAAGCGTTCTTTAGTTATTGATCGGAAACCGTTTTTACCTACAAGGTCAATGTGACCTTGACCTTTGACTCCTTGACACTTCAATAGGGGTCATCTACTGGTCATTCTCAAACATCATACCAAGTTTTGAAGTAACTAGGTCTAAGGGTTCTTTAGTTATCACTCGGAAACTATTTGGTCTGTATTGTCTGTATTACTTAGAATAGTGTTATAATAAATATACACATTTGAAGTTATGTGTATAAAATTAATGCATCTATCAATATATTAAAATAAAATGAATAAAATATGTTACCACAAATTGATTTCTTTTTGTTTTGTTTGTTTTGGGTTTTACGTCACATCGACACAGTATAGGTCATATCGCGACGTTCCAGCTTTACTGGTGGAGGAAGACCTCAAGTGGTTTGAAGTCAACGACCTTAACCACTCGGCCACGGACGCCCCTCAAAATTTCAGGTTAACTGAAAACTTCAATAATTTTCAATAATATTTATCACCATTCCACAGTGATAAGATACATGAAACAAAAAATGTGAATGACAATATTTAATTATTTAATTTTACCCATGAAATATGGTGCTATATCAGACAAATATGTTTTATATTTTTTAAAAATAAATATGAAATATAAATATGAAAGTGTGCGGAGTCGAAACTCATATTTATTTTAAGGGACTTCTTTCGCCATTTTGTTTGAAAAATCTGAGAAATACAAAACAACTTTTTGTTGAGTTTTGAAAACTATGTAGAATGATAGAAAATGGTCTAAGTAAATAAATTCGAACACCAATATCTTTAATTCAGTTATAAAAAGTGTACAGACTTTTAAAGAGTTGTTTATGTGACGTCACAATGTAGCGCCAAATATCACGTGCAAAACAAGACGCAATAATATATAACAGCGCGCTGTACAGTTGCTGTTGCGAAGCAAGCAATGGGGTTCGTAACTGTTTTTCTATAATAATGAAATTAAATAAAAAGGTTATTTTTTCGTTTTTCGTGAAAATATGTGACATTTTATCATGTTTTGTTTCACTCAAACGAAAAAATATCCTCTTAATATTGTTTGGAATAATTTGTGTTCAGATGAAAAGGAAATATTCTGGAAACCGTTAAACGTGGATTTGTCCTATTATAGTTGGAGATTTAAACACATGTTTACCATTAAAGTCATGTTATGCCTAAGAAATCCATAATGATCTTAATATTTTTCTAATTCTTTATAAAATTCAAACATGTCTTAAATGATGTAATAATGATATATTTAGAACATGTTAGGTGTTAAATAACACTGAACTCCCTGTAATGCGTCGTAAAGAAAAATGTTAACAAAATAGTATTTTAACTTCCACATAAAATACAAATTCACTATAATTTCACCAATTATCAACAGAGGAAAAGATGATACTTATATGGCAGATGAGAATATTTTGAAAATAGTAACAGGATACGAACATGAGCGGTCAGTGATCATATGTGTCGCCTCATGGTAGCCAATTGCAAGTTGCAGCTACTGTAAACACAAAAATCATTAACAGGACAAAAAGCGATTTACACCCAAGGGCCATAACTCTAAAATCACTCAATTGGAAAACGTTGTAAAGTGCACAAGTACTGATCAATCCTGTAAAGTTTTACTGAATAACATTATTGTTTTAAGAGATGTAGTCCGGACAGACTGTATCAACATCTTTTTTATTCGAGGACACGAAGTCAACCAAAAATCATTCAACCGAAAAACCAGTGTAAAATGCGCAAGAACTTGAGTAACAGATAAATCCTGTAAAGTTTCATTGAAATTGCATTAGTTGTATTGCTATAAGGAGACATGAAGGGCCATAACTCTGACAATAATCATTGAACCAAAAAATGCCAACAATATGCACAACTATGCTTAGAAATGATCATTCCTGTAAAGTTAAGATGAAATTGCACCAGTAGCTATTGAGAAGTAGTCCGGACAAGTTTTGTGACGGACAGACGGATAGACAGACAACAACGAAGTGATCTCTATATGTTGTCACTACTCAATAGCGGCGACACAAAAATAAAGTTCTTTAGATAGTTATAGAATTTCTGAGGCATTAATTATCAACATCTAGTTATAACATAAACAACAGTCGGAATGCATCAATGGGAGACAACTGGAGGAAAAATGCCACAATTATGCTGTTAATTCAAAGAGATTTAACTGGCAAGAAAATAAATGTAACATATATGGAATTTTATAGAACCATGGTCATTATCATGAGATGTATGTTTGTAAATATTGTAGCAGATGATACAAGTTACAAAAAAGATTCACAAAGAGATAAAACGAGACTGTTCAATTAATTAATACAAATATTTAATTCATTCTCACACTTGATACTCTAACACAGATAATACTATTTCATAACTAGCGTGTTTATATACATAAAGCACTTCAATATATGCTAATGAAATACATTAAAAACTGAACAATTTGCATACTCTACAAATGGACCTTGTGACTAAGGACATTTTTACACATTTTATGTTCAACATTATTCATAATTAACTTACAGAAACATTGATATTTTTAACTTATTTACATTGTAAAAAGGACTACACTGAGGTGTTTTGATTTGACAAGACTGAAAATAATTTTTTGTGACTAAAGTTTTATTACATGTAGATCTACACCAATTACTTGAGTTCTAAATTCTAGATCATTTGCTCACTCCGTTTTTCAAAAATAATAATTCCAATGGTGAAAAAAACCCCAAAAATTCAAAAGAGTTGAAACCCTGTTTGCTTAAATTAGGCTATGACTAGCACAGAAATATGATTTTAATTTTATTTCTTAATATATTACTACTTCAGTGGAGTTCCTTTAACTTTATATAATCATTTACTTGATAAACATTGTTTGGCACATTTACCTACAGAGAATATTAATGTATTTTATAAAAATAAACATTTTACCTACACAGGGCTAAAAATATACAAAAAGTGTTATGGTTAATCATTATGTTCTTTTCTTAAAAAAAAAGATTTAATCCATATATGAAGTCTAAAGTTGACACCGCAAATACATTTTGAGTGATGATCCTGACAATGTTAAGTAAATGAAAAATTTCAAAGGGCAAAAACTCTTAAATTATACAAAAGACAATAATGCCTCTTAAAGCAGCATGCCTTCATATTTTCATGAAATTTTGAAAATCTATTTAAAAGTAAAATATTTTGTAGGGAACAAAGAAAGTAATTAACACATTGCAAGCGGCACATAAAATCCACAGACTTTACCAAAAGGAGACCAGAACATGCCATATAAGTAATAAGGTGATAAATACTAAAAATCAGTCATAAATTGTGCATTACACATAAATCACTACTTGAATTTATTTAAAAAAATTAAACATTGGTACATTTTTTTCTCAAGTTTGATTTTCTTGAACCTGGAGGCACAGCTTGATAAAATAAAACATATCTGTACTTCCCATATAAACATATAGTTAGTCAATCTAACCTATTCAAAAATCATTGTCTTATATAGCATGCAGTTATAGTAGCCTTTAAATTTTGAGAATATTTATATGATCATTGCTTTGATAGACTCACAAGACTCAAAATTATAATATATGGTAAAATGTGTCCATGCATAAACTATATCATCTGATACAATTAAAAACATTGATATGCAATTTCAAGTCTATAATATTCAAATTACCATCTAAAATGTATTTTATACAGTTCCTATAAGGTAATAAAATATGCATAAATGTATAAAAACCGAAGCAAAAACTTAACATGGTACTAAGAAGCAAACAAACAAAGTCACTGAGTCACAACAACAACAATTTGTTTACATAATCATTGTCAAAGATATCGTTTTCCCTGAGTATGAAAGATGCAAATTACCATCTAAAATGGTAATGAATATCATCACGCAATAATGTTTTATTTAAAGTGACATTATGCTCATATTTTCATAGTCAAGTTGAGCTGATTTGACTTTATATTTCAAAAGATTGATTGTTAAAATGGTGTTTGACCAAGAGTTGATATTGGAAAACGTTCAGGATAAAATTATAAATCTGCCTAAAATATAAAAAGACTGCCCCAAACTTTTTATAAACTGAGCGTTATAGGTAAATTCTAATAGATATATGAAGAAATTTATTTGGATCTGTGCATTATTTATTATTTATGGGAAGTAAATTATTAAATTAAAAGGAGTTATGGTAAAAAGAAAACTTATTTTAATATTCACCTGTTCAATCACTTTATACCCTTGGATGGACATAATGTCACTTTAATGGAAGTAATGGTAATGGATATCAACTGCTCACACAATTCCAGAAAGTCATGTGGTCACATTTAGCGTTACTAGATTTTATGCTATGGGTCGTGATTTATATGGCCAATGAATGTCTAATATTAAGATTCTATGCTGAAGAGTTGTGGTTCAAACAAGTTCGAACACTAAGCATTATCACTATGACTAGAATTCTTTGCATATTTAGTTCCTCAATGATAGACATGTTAAAAGTAATAAATTGCTGACAGGATTGCAACAGCACTGCAGGATCAGTGTCATTCCTGAACATGATTCACTATTTTGTTAAATCAAGATTCCAATATCATACAAATATACAACGTTACTGTAGTTGCTCTTATCCTACTTCCGTTTGAGTTACTAAAGATACGTTTTGTTCTATGTTTAGTGGAAAATGGAAGCCATTGTTTACACCTTGAGCGACCCAAGTTTCCCGTAAATGTGATCCTTGTTCCTCCCGGATTTCTGAAAATACAAAAAGTATCAACATGATTTTAATGGTTCTTTAAACTCGCAATTTACGTTTTCCCAATGTTCATTTTTATGTTATTTTTTAATCATAACAATGCTGGGTTATATACCTGAAATGCAATCCATATCAGTCACCTTATGCTTATCATTATTTGTTTGGCGTTTGTTTTAGTTCTTATGATTTCATATTTTTTACGTAAAAAATAGTTGAAACAATCTGAAAACTGGAAATGTGTCCATAGGAAAATGGGTGGCCCCACACCCCACTGTCTTGTCAATCTACTGACTTAAAGTCATTTTTTTTGGGGGCTACAAGTGACACAAGTTGTTAACTGAAAAAACTCTTTTACTAAGTCAAAGACAAAACCTCTACAAATACTGAATAAATCCACAAGCAAACCCCAAGGTGCATAACTACACATGCTGACCAATATTCTTGTACACTTTCAGGACTACAGGTCACATACTTTTTGAGCTATGCATAACAAGTTGTCTATAATTTATTCTAAGTCAAGGGCATAATCTCTAACAAAACTGAAAAACATCAACATGCAACAGCTTCACAATGATGTTGATCATCATTCCTGTCAAGTTGGCTGCTGATTCTAACTCAAGCACTCAAAGTACACATATGAATGGTTTTTACTAAGTCAAGGGCAATTACTCTACAAATACTGATAAATGCACAATCCAACCCCCAGATGCACAAATACATATGCCGACCATCATTTCTGTAAAGTTTCATGACTAGGCCAAATACTTTTTGAGATATACATGACATTAGTTGAAAATTGCATGTGTTTTACTAATTCAAGGGCAATAACTCTAGAAATACTGTATAAATCCACAACCGAATCCCCTTTTGCACAATTTGTACACATGCTGACCAACATTCCTATAAAGTTTCATGACTCTAGGTCAAATATTGTTTGAGCTTCCGCAACACAAGTTGAAAATGGCAAGTTTAACTAAGTCAAGGGCAATAACTCTGACAAAGCAGAATCAACCCATAAGCAAAACACCAGGTGCACAAATAAACATGTTATTAACATTCCTGTTAAATTTCATGACTCTAGGTCAAATAAATTTGAAGTACGCAGGTAATTGGAAATTGCCATTTTTACTAAGTCAAGGGCCATAACTCTGACCAAACAGAATAAATTCACAAGCGAAACATCACATGCACAACTTCACTTCCCGAGCAACATTCCTGTAAAGTTTCATGACCCTAGGTCAAATACTTCTTGAGCTATGTGCCAAACAAGTTGAAAATAGCACATTTTTACTTAGTCAAGGGCAATAACTCTTCAAAAGCAGGTGCACCACTACACCTGCTGATCAACATTCCGGTTAAGTTTCATGAAAATAGGTCAAATACTTTTTAAGCTACGTGCGACATAATTTGAAAATTGCAAATTTCACTTAGTCAAGGGCAAAAACTACACAAATTCTGAATAATTCCACATGCAAACACTCAGGTGCACAACAACACATGCTCACCTGTAGGTCAAATAGTTTTTAAGCTACGTGCAACACAAAAGTGAACGGACGGACAGATTGACGGACAGATGAACGGACAAGGGTTGACCTAAATGCCCCCCATCCCTATAGAATGGGCACAATAAGAACAAGAGCACCGCTGGGCAGAACATTATAAACTCGAAAGTGACCTTGACATTTGACCTTGTGACCTCAAAATCAAAAGGGGTCTTCTATCCAATATGGAAAATAATCCTATTATTAGTTTGAACATTGTCAGTTAAAATTAATGGAACTTAAGTTATGTTCTGGAATTTCTTTTTCAGTTTAAAGGCTATAGTGACCTTGACCTTTGACCTTGGGACCCCAAAATCAATAGGGGTCTTCTACCAAATAAGGACAATTGTCCTATGAAGTTTGAATATTGTGGGCCAAATGGAACTTAAGTTATGCTCCGGAAACTATTATTGTTTAAAGGATATAGTGACCTTGACATTTGACCTTGTTACCCAAAAATCAATAGGGGCCTTCTACCCAATATGGACAATCATCCAATGATGTTTAAACACTATGCGCTAAATGGAACTTAAGTTATGCTCCGGAAACTGTTTTCAGTTTTAAGAGTGACCTTGACCTTTGACTTTGTGACCACAAAATCAACAGGGGTCTAAATCTACCCAATATGAACAATCATCCTATGAAGTTTAAAAACTGTAGGCCAAATGGAACTTAAATTATGCTCCGGAAACTGTTATTGTTTTAAGGTAATAGTGACCTTGACATTTGACCTTGTGACCCAAAAATCAATAGGGGCCTTCTACCCAATATGGACAATCATCCAATGATGTTTAAACACTATGGGCTAAATGGAACTGAAGTTATGCTCCGGAAATTGTTTTCAGTTTTAAGGTAAAAGTGTCCTTGACCTTTGACCTTGTGAACCAAAAATCAATAGGGGTCTTTTACCCAATATGGCAAAGTGCTATAAAGTTTGAACACTGTAGGTCAAATGGAACATAAGTTATGCTCCGGAAACCAAATTCCTTACGGACGGAGGGACGGACGCGATATAACATAAATAATATGCCTGAAATTCTTTAGATGTAATAGTTTCTAATCATGATTCAAACATGTAAATGATCATATTAAGAAACATCCAAAGGAAAGTTGTTATAAATTTCTGTACGAAAATACAATCAATCATTTTTCGGTCTCTCTAAATTCTCTCTAATGTTTTAGCTATAAGTGGTGTCCGCCTCCAAGTAGTTAAGGCTTTAAATCACTTGTTCCACAACGCTAAATCATATGACCTCTACTGTGTTAGTGTTTACATAGGCAAGAGTGCCATGATGGCCTTGAAATTGCTCACTTGAATATAAATCTCTCCATGACAAGGAACAAGAAATATGGTTATCTATAAACAACAGCAGATATAAAATCTCAATCTAAAACTGATATCACAAATTTCATAATTGGATCTGAAAAAGTGTATGTGTAAAAACATTACCGGCTTTCTATTGCATAGGGAAAACAACAGTTCCAAAAGATGTGTACATATAAGAACAATAGGGCACAGAGGGCCCTGGATCGCTCACCTGAGAAAAAGGTTAAAAGGTCAAAGTGGAGTCCCTTTTCACCCCAGAAAAAATAGCAAAAATTAAAATATAAGAAAAAATATGGAATTTACAGTACATATAAGGAAAATCAATGACCACCTTAGGCGGGCCAATTTTGATCCTACGGCATTTAATTGAACAAACTTGGTAAACATTCAATTTCACAAGAAGATGGTTTCGTGCCATATATCTAATCTATAGTGCTTTTAAATTGTAACAATTTTTAAAGTGTGTCTATATACATATCAGGAAAATCAATGACCCACTCAAGGGGGGGGGGGGTCAATTTTGACCCTAGGACATTTATTTGAACAAATTTGGTAGACATCCAAAAGCAGAAGTTTCATGCCAAATATCTAATCTATAGTGCTTTGGATTGTTACAAGAAGTTTATTTTAAGTATTTACTGTTAACATATAAGGAAAATCAATGACCCCTGAGGCTGGGCCAATTTTGACCTTATGGCTTTTATTTGAAGAAACCTGGTACACATCATCTAGAAGATGTTTTATGGCAAATTTCTAAGCTCTAGCTCTTTCAGTTTTTCACAAGTAGATTTTTTAAAGTTTTTTGTAAAAAAAAATCTTTCGGTTGCCATTGCAACCAGAGTTAAGTTTTTATGGAATTTAATTCTTTGAACAACTTTGGTAGAACTTCATGCAAGGTACATCCCTGCAAAAATTCAACAAATTTGGCCAATAGGTTAAGGAGGAGAAGTTGTTTATTGAAACTGTTGATGCACGGAGGATGGTTTATCACAAATGGTCAACTTGAGGACATTGTCCTCAGGTGAGTTAAATATCAATGACCCCCCTGGGGCGGGGCCAAATTTGATCCCAGGGCTTTTATTTGAAGAACCTTGGTAGACATCCGTAAGAAGATTTTTTATTATAAATATCTAACCTCTAACTCTTTGGGTTTTTCAAAAAAGATTTTTTGTGTTTTTTATATGTACATAATTATAAGGAAAATTAATGGTCGCCCATGGCATGGCCGATTTCAACCCCTGTGCTTTTATTTGACTTAACTTAATGGTAGAAACTCACTAGAAGATGTTACATGCTAAATATCTAAGCTCTAGCTCTTTTTTTAAAAAGAAGAACTTTTTTTATCATATACGAGTTCAAATTAGAACAAGAGGGCCAAGATGGCCCTGAGGTCGCTCACCTGTATATAGGCCCCCGAAGCAGGGCCAGTTAAAATCCCAGGGCTTTTAATTACTTGGAAGACACCCAATAGAAGATGTTCCATGATGTTCAGTTTTTACGTAACACACATATAATGAAAAACAATCACGTTCTGTCACACTCCCCCCCCCGGCAGGGCCAATATTAACCCGAGGGCTTTTATTTGAACAAACTTGGTAGACACCCATAAGAAGATGTTTCATGCTTAACATCTAAGCTCTAGCTCATTGGGCTAAGCTCTAGCTCATTGGGTTTTTTAAAAGAAGATTTTTTAAGTTTTTACTATACACATATAGTTAAAAACAATGACTCCCCTGAGGCAGGCCAGTTTTGACCCCAGGGCTTTTATTTGAACAAACTTTGTAGGCACTCACTAGAAGATGTTTCATGCTTAATATCTTAACTCTAGCTATTTGGGTTTTTTCAAAGAAGATTTTTTAACTTTTTGCTATACACGTTTAAGGAAAATGAATGACCCCCGGGGCGGGGCCAATTTTGACCCCAGGGCTTTTATTTGAACAAACTTGGTAGACACACATTAGAACATGTTTTATTCTAAATATCTTAGCTCTAGCTCTTTTACTTCTTTAAAAGAAGAATATTTAAGTTTTTACTATATGCATATAGGGAAAATCAATGATGCCCTGGGGCAGGGCCAATTTTGACCCCAGGGCTTTTATTTGAACAAACTTGGTAGACACTTACTAGAAGATGTTTCATGCCAAATATCTAAGCTCTAGCTCTTTGCGTTTTTTTTAAAAGAAGATATTTTTAAGTTTTTTTCTTTCGGTTGCCATGGCAACCAGAGTTCTGCATGGAATAAAATTCTTTGAACAATTTTTAAAGGTGACCACCAAAGGAACATTCCTGTGAAGTTTGGATGAAATTGGCTTAGTGGTTTATGATGTCATTTAAAGTAAAAGTTTACGGACGGACGGACGCTGGACGAAAAAGCGATCACAAAAGCTCACCCTGTCACTTTGTGACAGGTGAGCTAAAAATCAATGACCCCCCCCCCAGGGCTAACCAATTTTGTCTCAGGACTTTTTTTAACAAACTTGGTAGACACCTATAAGAAGATGTTAAATGCTAAATATCTAACCTCTAGCTCTTTGGGTTTTTTAAAGAAGATTTTTGTTTTTGTTTTTACTATATACATATCAGGAAAATCAATGACCCCCTGGGGCAGGGCCAATTTTGACCCTGAGTGCTTTTATAAGAACAAACTTTGTAGACATCCGTTAGAAGATGTTTCATGGTTAATGTCTAAGCTCTTTGGGTTCTTTAAAAGAAGATTTATTTTAATTTTTACTATACAGTACTGTAGACATATGAAGAAAATCATTCTAATTTAAGCTCTAGCTTTTTGGCTTTTTTAAAAGAAGATATTTTAAGTTTTTTCATCAACCAGTGTTCTGCATGGGAACAAATTTTAAAGGTGACCACCAAAGGAACATTTCTGTGAAGTTTGGATGAAATTGGCTTAACGGTTTATGAGGACATGTCATTTAAAGTAAAAAATTACGGACTGGCGGATGGACGCCGGACAAAAAATGCCATGTCACTTTATGACAGGTGAGCTAAAAAGTAGCATATATTTATTGCCTGATTGTACCAGATAATTAGAAGTAGGGAAAATTCACATATCAACTTTTAAAACAGTTTTCTTTGTATCCAAGTGTCACAGTTCAAATAAAAATGTATTATAATATTTTTCCGTGGTAATGTTGTATTTCATTCTTAATAAACTTTATATAAATTGCCATCACCCCGTCCCCTATTTATACAACAGGCCACATATATTCCGTAGTTTGGCAATACTAACAACCTATATAACAGTGTATAATGAATCATATAATATCAACAAGAGTTAATTGAAGAAATACTAATATTTTAGTGAAACTATTTAATGCACAAAACATTAAATCAGAATTTTCCACATAACATTACAGGATAATTTCTCAAATACTTTATATACATTGATGATTACAAGTTATGTATACATATAATGGTTATTTAATGGTGGAGGTTACATCTTATTGCATTAAACAAATAAACATAAATATTTATTGTGTGCCATTAAAATAAATTAAAGTGTACTTACTTGTTGTTTATCAACATCAATCAATGTTATTTCCCAGGAAGACAATCTTCAATTTCCATTCATATGTTCATATTCCTTAGTATTGATTATCAAACTGTCTATTCCAAAAATAAAAAATGATGTCTATTTCACCTGTCACTTGTCTCATAATCTATTTATAAATTGTTTCTCCCAAGTTCATTTAAGGTTACTCAGTACTTGTTGTTGTTTTAAACCTAAACATGTACTTTCCAGACTTCAAGGTGCCATCACCGGTGACAACAAAATTGTCTGATTGTTTTATAAATGTTTTAAAGTTTTTAAATTCTGTTTCTGGTTTTATATCACAACCTGCCATCTGTACTGTCACTGTATGTGGTAGTTTGTTTATAACAGTAATAAGATCATATAACACTGAACAAGACATTGTTATATCATACAACTCAACATGTTCAATATTGATAATTTGAGGTGACAGTGTTAATGATCTTTCACCTAGATTGATTTTACCAAACCTAACATCTTTCACATGATATAACAATGATAATGTTTGTAACATTGTTTCTATGTCACTGGAAGATTCTAGATCACCACACTGAAATGTTTGTAGTTTACTGGCTGCTGGTAGTTGACTGAGATAAGATGACACAACACCAGGTTTATATAATTTACCTACACGACATTCCTCTAACAACGATACATCCATGTTTAATTGTGACACAGGTATCTGGGCCAATCCTAAACCTCTTAGTTGTGAATGTTGAGACAGGTCAAGGTTGAATCCCCTACATGAAGTATCATGATCACTACAGTATAAATTGTACAATGTTATTTCTTTCATTGATTTTTTACTAGTGAGGAAATTTAACAATGTCTCCATTACCTCGTGGGTCATAGTGAAACAGTTTATATATAAACACTCCAGGTGTTGTAATTTTACCAGTCGTCCATTTATCTCTGCAGACAGCTGGCAACGTTTTCCTACAAATTTATGATTTTCCCATTTACTTGATATCACAGTTAAACATTTTAAAGGGTTCAATAACAAGCTCATTATTTCCTCTTCTACAATTTCACCTCTATAGTATAATTTCTCTATATGTGGAAGGTCAGAGAATGTAAACAAATTGATTATTTCTTGTACACTACAAATACCTTTATTTTCTATCATTATTGATTTTATATTTTCTTTATTTTGTTGACATAGATGTTGTAATTGTTTGAAGTAGTTTTCTTGTTGACATTTTTCATTAATGAAGAAATCTTGTAAACACAATTTGAGGTCTTTGTTTTCCTGGCTTTCTTTGGCACAAGAAATGCACATGTCTTGTATGTCTTGTAATGGATCAATGTACATGGGATCATAATATGTCAAAGTTCTGTATTTGCTTGTTTTTTCATCATTGTTTATCACAGGCATCAAATCACTTGATATTGTAGACATTAATTTAGGGTTCATGTAACTAATAAAGCCAAACACTTTTGACATATCTAGAATATTTTGTAAACAGTTGCACTCTTCAAAGATGATTTTCTGAACTTCATTCGTATTCTGAAAACTTATAAACATTGCTGAAAAGTATTCCTGCACTGTTTTATGTGAAAATGAGATTTTAGAACTTTCATTTATTAATGCTTTCACTTTACTTTCTGATAATATTCCTGATAGACAGCTTGATTTCAAATCTTCTTCGTTAAGATATATTTCAACAACATTTTTATCAAAAACTAATGTGTGCTCTTTTTTCTTACTGAACAATGTATAAACAGCTAGTTTTCCAATGGTCTTTAGAAATGTGTAGTAACGACAGAAATGTTGATGTTTTCTGAAACATTCAGGAACATTACTAGGGGATGTTACATATGATGAATGAAACTTTCCATGTAACTGTTCTGTTCTGGATAGAAAGAGCTGAATAATGCCTGTATATAGTTCTACTGCAGAATTTCCTATTGGAATTTTTTCAACCCATAAGCATATAAGATAGAGTAACAGGAGAGGGGTGGATTCCATATCTTCAAGGTCATGGTCACTGATTTCTTCTTCAAATCTACCCACTTCATTTTTCAGTTCACCATCTAGAAGGTTTACATTCAACATTTTCAGTGCATTAAGCTTAAACTGCCCAGCATTAGCTTTGTTTAGTTTAACTAGCTCTACTGTTTTGTCCATTTGACTTGTCTTTAAGTTTGAGACTCCAAGCTTCCATGGCCGGGTCGTTGTCAAGATTACACACTTTTCACGTGCATATCGATGCGGAATACTTTTAGGAACTCTTGTACAATCATTGACAGGATGTAACCATTCATCTAGTCCATCTAATATAACGAGACATTTTTCATTATGTAAAATGTCCTTTAACAGACCATCCGCCATTGAAGATGAGCACGGAAGATTTTGTATGACTTGTTGTTCAATCATGTCGTCAACATCACAGACTTTAGCTGAATCTCTCAATATCACTAGAAATAAAAACTCAAAGCCAGATAACGCTTGCAACTCTTCTTCTTTAAAATTTTTATAATTTTCATCCTTTTTATGAGCTTGACACCATGTTATAGCGAGATATTTTGAAAATGCTGTTTTCCCAAATCCAGCGACAGCTGATAAATATATTTCCCGTGGAACTTTCCTGCCAGATGTAAACAGGTCCTGTAATGACTTGACTCTAGTTGTTTCTTTCCTACCACCTGGCAGATATGTCTGTATGTCAATTTCTGGCATAATGTAGAACCCAGCAAGAGGGGTAGGGAAAGCATCTGTGAGTGGTGAAAGATAAACTGTACTCTGATTGGTGTTGTACCATGTTATAAGTTCATCCTTCAGTTCTGAAATAGAAATAATTCTCATATTATATATTTATATAAATATATACTGTATATCTAGATATATATTATACCTTGGGTTCATGAAAGTATAAAAACATCAATGGTTTGGTAAAGTAATGCTTTTATTTATGTTCAGTAGATCTCCGTAAACTGCTGATTTGTAGTGCCACAGTTTCAAATGCACAAAAAAATGAAAATTATTATTAATAGATATCTAAAAAAATAGAAATCTAATTATCTTGATTATTTCGAGTTCTTCCTAATATGTAAATGTACTTACTAAGATGAATAGAACACACGAAAGAGGAACCGTCTACTACTGTACACTAGATACTTAAATTTACATTTTTTATTTACGAAGCAGACGAACACAAAATACATTACTGTCTAACCTAAACTCATACAAAATATATTTTTATACCTATTTGTTGTATTTCAAGAGCATCTCACTTGATTTTTTTTTCATCTCAATCTGAATCTTACAAAATTAGGTAACAAAATACGTTTTTGAGCAGTCTGCTGTCTTTACTAAATTTATATCAATGCACCGAAGGAACCCTTGCACTGACTTAACTGTAATAAACATCAATCTAAAAATAGTTCACCTGACGTAGAAACAAGAAATATCTTTTGAAAAGATACACTGCCAAGTTTAACCACAGAAAGCTGATAATAAAATAAAAACGAAAAAAGAAACAGTCCATTTTACATAATTAGAAGGGAAGAAGGAAAGAAATTTATGCATCCATCCTAGGGCTGAGAGGGGGGATTAAGAGTTGGACCCTTGTCTCTCCGTCCGTGCACGCGCACGTGCTTGTGTTACCATGTTTTGTCATGTGTAGATCTGAAAGTGCTTGAATTAGAGTCAACTTTCTCTATTACACTCTGGAATGATGATCAGCATAGAAAATTTGAGCTTGGGTTTCAAAAAATGTCTCTCATGAATTATTTTTTCTTGTTTTTTTTTCCTTTAAAGCATACTTTAGGATAGTCTACAGTACAGTGTAGAATTTAAATTTGAAGTTCTTAATATTGGGAAAAGTCAAGACTGAAAATATAGATGTCGTTTTCTGCCCACAAACCACTTAGGGGTTTTATAATGGGAGCCAAATAAAATTCCCATTTTACTGTCTGACAAATATTTGCGTGAGGGGACATGCATGTCCTATACACATCACTTAGTTTCCTGTGGTTAAACCTGGTTTTGCCGTTGCCGTGTAATAGTATTTATTAATCTCTTAATCATATTGTTACGTACATTTACTGAGATCTCCAGTTCTGTGAAGACAGATATTTAAAGCACTCATAAACCCAGAGGAAGAGGGATACAATATAAGTCTTAGGGCTTTTTTAGATGGTAATGCACACAAAAGATTCTACAATGAAATCTTAGGTGCTGTTAACCGATGGGGGCGGGATGAAATCTCAAGATTTTAAAAGCAATACTGAAGTGCTTTTCTTAACAGATTCTTGTATTTTTGGTCCCATTTATTTTAACCAGTAAAATACATGCCAACAGTATCACGGTAGGTAAACAAAAGTATCTCTTTTAGAATTGTGAGATAGAAACCAAAAATATCAAAACAGAACCGTGTTTTTGAGCTAGGTTCATTTTTTTTAATAATGATTAACAAATTGCTAACGATTACCCTTGGGATATAATGGGTATCTCCGAACCATTATCGTGACAACAACCAAGTTATCATTTTTATTTTTTACCTAAGATTATTTTTTTAAAGCCAAGTACAATAGATGTGTCAGTTTTATTAGATAGTCATTCTTTTAAAATAGTCATGTACTGCATCAGGGAAGACCCGTTGCTAATGTTGAGAGAACTTGTGGGTCAACACTATTGCCAAATATGTTATGTCATTATATTGTAACTGTCTTTACGTGTATGTTTATAGTTTGTTTTTTTTTTGCAATAAAATATGTTTAATCATTTTATCAAACAAAGCAGGGCTTAAAATCAGTGACCTTAAAAAAGGCTGTCATTTTTTCACTCGATTCGCTTTTGCAAAAAAAAACAACAAAAAAACAAGAGGGCCATGATGGCCCTGAGGTCGCTCACCTGTATATTGGCCCCCGGAGCAGGGCCAGTTTAAACCCCAGGGCTTTTATTTGAACAAACTTGGAAGACACTCATTAGAAGATGTTTCACAATGTTAAGCTTTTACTACACACATGTAATGAAAAACAATGATCTCATCTCCTTGTCCCCCCCCCCCCCCCCCGGCAGGGCCAATTTTCACCCAAGGGCTTTTATTTGAACAAACTTGGTAGTCATCCATAAGAAGATATTTCTTGCTAAACATCTAAGCTCTAGTTCATTGGGTTTTTTAAAAGAAGATTTTGTAAGTTTTTACTACACACATATAGTTAAAAACAGTGACACCCCTGGGGCGGGGCCAGTTTTGACCCCAGGGCTTTTATTTGAACAAACTTTGTAGACACTTATTAGAAGATGTTTCAAGCTTAATATCTAACTCTAGCTATTTGGGTTTTTTCAAAGAAGACTTTTTAAGTTTTTACTATATGCATATATAGGGAAAATCAAGACCCCCCGGGGCGGGGCCAATTTTGACCACATGAGTATTATTTGAACAAACTTTGTAGACACTCACTAGAAGATCTTTTCGCTGACTATCTTAGCTCTAGCTCTTTGAGTTCTTTCAAAGAAGATTTTGTAAGTTTTTACTATATGCATATAGGGAAAATCAATGACCCCCTGGGGCGGGGCCAATTTTGACCCCAGGGCTTTTATTTGAACAATCTTGGTACACACTCATTAGAAGATGTTTCATGCTGAATATCTTAGCTCTAGCTCTTTGGGTTCTTTAAAAGAAGAATTTTTAAGTTTTTACTATATGCATATAGGGAAAAACAATGACCCCCTCGGGCGGGGCCAATTTTGACCCCAGGGCTTTTATTTGAACAAACTTGGTACACACTCATTAGAAAATGTTTCATGCTGAATATCTTAGCTCTAGCTCTTTGGGTTCTTTAAAAGAAGAATTTTTAAGTTTTTACTATATGCACATAGGGAAAATCAATGACCCCCTGGGGCGGGGCCAATTTTGACCCCAGGGCTTTTATTTGAACAAACTTGGTACACACTCATAAGAAGATGTTTCATGCTGAATATCTTAGCTCTAGCTCTTTGGGTTCTTTAACAGAAGAATTTTTAAGTTTTTACTATATGCATATTGGGAAAATCAATGACCCCCTGGGGCGGGGCCAATTTTGACCCCAGGGATTTTTTTTGAACAAACTTGGTAGACACTCACTAGAAGATGTTCCATGCTAAATATCTAAGCTCTAGCTCTTAGGGTTTTTTAAAAGAAGATATTTAAAGTTTTTTCTTTCGGTTGCCATGGCAACCGAGTTCTGCATGGAATTAAATTCTTTGAACAATTTTTTAAAGGTGACCACCAAAGGAACATTCCTGTGAAGTTTGGATGAAATTGGCTTAGTGGTTTATGAGGAGATGTCATTTAAAGTAAAAGTTTACGGACGGACGGACGACGGACGGACGACGGACGAAAAGCGATCACAAAAGCTCACCCTGTCACTTTGTGACAGGTGAGCTAAAAACAAAACAACCAAAAAAAAAAACAAAAAAAAAACAAACTAAGTGTAACATTTTCACGAGTGACTTAGCCAAGAATGAAAATATAATAGTTGGTGTCCACAAGTGAAATATATTGAGGATATTGAATGAGTGTAAGTTCAATACTGAATTTATTGCACAAGTTGAATAAAATTATATTATGCGAGCCTCTGGTGAGCATAAAATATTATTTTATTCAAAGAGTTTAATTAATTCAGTAATGGACTTACACGAATTTAATATTCTATTTATCACATACCCAAAATAAAAATCATTTAAAGTGAAAGAGTCATAAAAGAGTCATTTTTCATAGACGCGCCTATAGTATAACGCTTACATTTAGCGCGTCTTTACACTATGTTTGTATAACGTTAATGACGACTTGTTTAAATATATGCACGGCCGTGCAATACCGTTTTTACGGAGTCGCAAAATCGGCACGGGTGTGTGATAAATTGCATTCAAAAATTTTAACATGATATGTGCGTTCTCTTAATTTCATCACATCATGACATTATTCCTGTTGATATGTCCATTTAGTTATGAAATATTATTTCATCCGCATGCAATATAGTCCGGCTACAATGAAAATTATCAAAAATTATTTCACTGTGAAAATTATCAAATCCACTGCAAAGCATGTAATAAATATATATAACTTCACTGCATTTTTTCTTTAAAATGTCAAGATCATAAGTTTACATACATAGAATTTTGAAAAAAGTCAAGTCGCTACTCAGACATGCATTTTACTTACTAGTGGTGTTTATTTGCTATTTTAATTGACCAACAAGGCCGTAAACCTGAGTGGTTACTATTTTCGCATCAAAACGACCCAACTGGTGTTAATTAGCCGATAAACACCGCTCAGACCGACATTATTTCTAATCTAATAAATAAAATAAGGAAGTTCACTAATGTTATTTTTTTTCAAGCGGAGATAAATTCCGGTTCAGTTTCTCGCATAACCGCTGTTCAGTTTCGCACCCTACTGTTGCTAGGATATAGAGGATATTTGTTTAGTTCAGTGTAAGATCGGAATATATTTCACCGAGTGAGTACCAAAAGGTATATTTCACGAGTGGCGCAGCCACGAGTGAAATATGAACTTTTGGTGTTCAGGAGGTGACATATATTTCGATCTTACACTGAACAAACAAATTTTCTTTTTATTACATGCAAAGAAACGTTTAAAAAGACATTTTAACTTAGTAGTAAATGAAAAGGGCGCCAAATGATAATATAACGTGACGTCATTTACTACGTCACGTCATTTAGTTGGTTTCCAGTAATGTGAACGCTTGTATTTCACTGAAACAACGTACTGGGCTCAAATATTCAAAACAGTGAAATTATCTGATATCAAATCAATAATTTCACTGTTTCAAAC